TATTTTTTTTTACCTGGGTGGTGATCACGTGGGTGCATGACGCTATACATTTTAGTACTTTGTGCGTTTCTCTGGGTGCACAATGGTAAGGGGAGGGGAGTGAAAAAGAGAGAAGATGAAAGAATGGAAGCTCTGAGCAAGGGCAACAAAGTAGGAAAGAGAAATTCTTTAGGTGACTTACTGTGCTTCTCTCCATTCTAAAAGTCTTGTTTTTCCATTTTAGCATCTCTGAAATCAGGGTGCACCCTGCCTTCGATGATAAAATGTGGTTGCTTTGAGGGTCCCTCACTGTCTTGCTGCCTCCCTCTGGTTGGCCTCTGACCCCCCTCCCCCCAGAGCAATACCAAGTCAACAGAGCTGTGGCCCTCAGCCGGCCTCACACCTACAGTTGGTCAGGAGTAAGAAGGGGGAAAGGGTGTGGTTGACTCCTGGTCACAGCAGAAAGTGGAAAAAGAGAGCACAGGGCCAACTGACGCCAGTGGGCTCTTCCTTCCCATGTGCTGTGTCCCTCGGTGACCTGGCTGGCCTCATTCTTAAAAGCACAGGCTAGGGGCTGGCTGAGTGGCTCAGTTGGTCAAGAGCTCGCTCAAGAGTTTGAGCTCTGAGCAACAGCGGTTCGAGTCCTGGCCCGAGTTGAGCAGCCGCTGAGCTGCCGACAGGTGGCAGGATGGCTCAGCTAAAATAAAAAATTTAAAAAAAAATCGCAGGCTAGGAGGTGGAAGGACAATCTCGGGGTGGGCTTTCAGGAAAAGGAGTGGTCAGGGACCTATGAACCAGCCCCAGTCCAGATTCTTGCAGGATCCCAGGCAGAACCCATTCTTCAAACTGAAAGATGCCTCCAGCTTCAATAGAGTCCAGATGGGACTTGAGTTATAGGGCTATAAAGGGAGGCGTCAGAGAGAGGTGGGGTACAGTTTAGTTTAGATTTCTGAGGAATTTCCTGATGACAACTATCACCTATATCAACTATTGCCATCAAGCACCTTCTCTATGTAAATCCTATAATCCCCTTCTCTGGAGACTGGCTAGTCAATGATATGATGTCTGGGAGAGGTCACTACGTTGTACAGAATGAGCCAATGGAGCATACATGCTTTCCTCCATGATCTCATTAAATCGTCCCCAAGGTCCCAGAGACAGGCACTTTCGTTATTTCCAATTTAAGCCTAGGAAACTAAGGATGAGAGACACAAAACAACAAGTTGCCAAGGTCACACAGCTGCTAAGTGGTGGGTGCAGGACTTGACCTCTCTGGAGGTCATCTTCTTAGCCACCAGGTAGCACCGCCTAGTCACGTGAGGCTCCATGCTGGCCCTGAGATGGATCTGTAATTTTCTGGCCCATCTGTATCTCTCTTTCAAGGAAGAATTGTCTACTTCCAGAGAGCTGCTGCCTGTGCCCTTCCATCTCGACTCCAGAGGAGTCCCTCCAGTTAGTCATCAGAGAGCAGCTACCGTGGTGGCTCAATGGCTTCCCATGGTTTCATTTGATTCCTCATCCTTGGCCCCGAGCCATTCCAATTGTGCTAAAAATAGCACTGACCAAATCGACATCTGTCCAGGGGCCAGGACTATTTTGATTCTGTCCTCAAGAATCATCTGGTCTAAGGCATGTACAAGCTGGACTACTCCCATGAGCACTCAGATGTGGTGCCAGGAATGTTCTGGATGACACACCTGTCCTCCAAGCTGGGCCAACTGCTGCTACTCATCCCACAGTTTCTACCACGTGCCTCCTGAGATACCGATTCCAGAAGGGATGGGTGGTGGGACCTGCACTCCGGGACGATAAGAGGTTAATATCCTTAGCTATAGAGAACAACCGGCCATCTTCAGTGACACTCCTCTTATCCCTGTCCATTAAACGGGACCATGTTGACCCATGGATTTATGACCTCCCCTCAGCATGGAGGCCTGCACCAGAATCTTCCTTAGAGACAGCAAACATTATCCCCCATGGAAGGCTGAAAGATTTCCTTCTCTGGAGGTCTTTATAATGGCAGAGATTTGCATCTGGCTGGCTTAAACATAATCCTAGTGCAGGGCTCCTGCGTGGAAGGCTCAGCTAGTCCTTCACTAGGACCACTTGGCCATTCTTCACATTCCACAGAAGGCCCACCTCTGTGGGGAGTCCTCCCTGACCAGTCCAGCCTCACCCTTCTCTTACCACCCAGTGGACTTACATGCTGCCATTTACTACTTTAATAGCGGCTTCTCGCCTTTGCCTACAGCCTTCCCCTCTCAGCTGTGAGCTCTTCCGGCCAGGTATCTTTCACCAGCTGGCACCCAGTTTGCAGTGGCTTCCCGGCATTTATGGGTTGGTGAACCAGCAGCGTTGGCAAGGCCATCCTTGCTCTGCTCAGGAAACAAGTCAGCCATCTCCTTCTTGTGTTGGCTCACTCACTTGTTCCATATATGACCATTAAACATCTATTCTGTCTGCTGCTGGTCTGGACTTTGGAGACACAATATCTAATAAGACTAGTTTCCTGCCTGAGAGGTCCCAGAATAGTAGGGAAACTTATATTATCAGATAGTGGGTTAAACACAATTATTTAAGTGCAACAGTGACTAACTTTGCTCCGGGGAGTTGGGAAAGGTCTCACAGAACATTTGATCTATGACTAGTCTTCACTCATAAACACATGCAGTGGAAAAGTGGGAGAAAGAACATTCCAGTGAAAGGAACATGTGGAAAGGCATGAAGGCATGAAAGGGCCTCATGGGGCCCAAGAAAGCCAAAAAATTGCCATATTTTTGCTGTGTTCTCTTTGCTGGCCATGGACACAAAGGCAGCTTGGCTTCTTGGTAAGGGAGATGGGAACTCCATGAAGAAGGTAGCAGGGCATGTTGACCACCCTTTTCCCCAGAAGGTGTCAGGACACACACAGCCCCTGCTCCTCTGCTCTATGGGGGCTGCAATCTCTCCTCCCAGCCTCCCCTGCTCCCTCCTAACCTGGATGAAATTGGCTCCTGTGACACTGATGTGCTTTCCTTCTTGTTAGAATCTTAATGTTGTATGAATCACAAATCCTGTTGCCCGGGTATGGCGGTCAGGGTCAGAGGTGTGAATTAAACAACACATGATCCTGATTACTTCCGTCAGGGGTGCTGAGGCCAGCAGAGCAGGTTGCTTCCATTGTCATTGATAATAAGGGTGCTCCCAAGGCTGTTGATCTCAAACTCATTCCTTAGAGAGCTTTAAGCACCTTGTTGACATCATCCAATAACAATAACATAAACAGTCGCATCTTACTGAGCACTTTACAAGTATAATTTCATTTCATCGTTAGATGACTTCATGATGCAGGGTTAAGTGGCATGCCTGAGATCTCACAGCTAGTCAGGATAGAGCCAGAATCTGAGCCAGTCTTTGGGACTTCAGAAAGCCCAAGCACCACTTTAACACCACCTCAATCCTAAGGAATAATCCTGGCCTGAGGATGTTTGATGGCTTGGCCCTCTGCCTGAGGGGCCCCCAAATCTCCTCTGGCTTCCAGCACAAGGCTGTGGCCCCCTGAGACACTCATCACACCTCTATTGCATGCTTCCTGGGTGCCAGGTACCGTGTGAGAGCCTGGGAAAGACACATACCGTGTTTCCCCATGTATAAGACACACCTTTTTAAGAAAAATTTGGGGTCTAAAACTGGATGCGTCTTATACAGTGGTTGTAGATTTTTTTATTTGCATTTCCCACAGGTGATGAGGAGTTGTATGAATTTTAAGATGAATAAAACTTGAGTTCAATAACTTTATGTAATACATTTTTTTTCAGATTTCGGGCCCTAAAATTATGGTGTGTCTTATACATGGGAGCGTCTTATACATGGGGAAATACGGTAGATGCAGAGACCCAGTTATCATGTGGCTCACCACCTAGGGGAACTGGAAGGACCCCCCTCTCCACTGTTCCTCCAAATTTTCCCATTCTTTAATGTGACCCATTCAGCCTTCCTTATGCTCTGGCCAAAACCCATTTCTCCTCCTTCTAAGCTTCCATGGTGTTGGTTCCCCAAACCAGAGCACCTATTACTTTCTTTCTGCTTTCTTTCACTTGGCAGTCATTTACATGTCATTTGCATGTGGAAAGCCCTGGGGATACATTGATAAGATGAATTAATAAGACAGAATCTCTGCCACAATCTCAGAGAGGGAACACACAAGTAATCAGTGGGGGGACTGAAATCCTGGAGACCATAGCAGACCTACACTACTTCCTCATTCACCCCCACCAAGGAACTGACTTGGTCTTGGAAAGTGACATCATGAAGGAATGGGAGGAAAACTGGACCTAAGTCAGAAAGGCTAAGGTCCACGCTGGTGCCACCATGTGAGGGACACTGGAGAAGTGATTCAGTTTCATCTGTAAAGTGGGCATGACAATACCTAACTGGCCTAGCTTACAAAGTTTTAGTAATATGCTTTATTAAATGATAGTGAATGAGAACATCTTACAGGTTATAAAGTATTACATAAGTGGTGATTATCATTATATTTTATCTCCTGTCTCCCGCCCCCCAGGATGCCTAGCATAAATCTGGGCACATAGTAGATATACAGTAAATATCAGTTCATTTAAATTGAATTGATTCATTCATCTTATGTACCACATTCTGATAGTCCTGTGGGCTTGTGATGGCATTGTGAGTCCCCACAGGACCAATGCCTGCCCTGCCTGCTGGAGGCGGTAGGGGAGGACCAAGTGAGAAGGATATAAAGTGCCTTGGAGGCACTTATTGATATATCGAACTATAGGGAAACCACCTTGGTCCCCATCATGGGGCACTGGGCTGAGGGCCGGGGGTCCCTAAATGTGGAGCCAAAGCCATGGGGCAGCTGTCCTCCAAGCCCTAGGCTCATTCTTTTGGGGGAACAAACATTACACTTCCCTCAGTTTAGGTTTTCAAACCACTGGGGCTGCCTGTGACACGGGCATAGTTCCTAGGGGACCAGGCCACCACCTGCCCACCCCTCATTAGCCCTTCACCTCTCATTTCAGCACCCCTACCCCACGGAGGATGAGAAGAGGCAGATCGCCGCCCAGACAAACCTCACCCTCCTGCAAGTAAATAACTGGTGAGTTATTCCCCCCCCCCCCAAAGGCTCTCAGATGAAGGGGCCACATGCTTGGCAGGGGAATGCACAGCAGGGAGAAGAGACTAGAATGCCCAGCTCTGCCTCCGTCGTCGCAGCCTAGCCACTGCATCAGCCTCATTTGGGCTAGAAGCCGAAAGCCAAAATCAACACAGGCGTCTATGGCTTCATCCGCAGCTTCTCAGCGCCCTCTGCTGGGAAACTGTGTCAGGAACATCACCGGATGGAAAACCCAGCCCCACGTGTGCACTGCAGAGACAAACACAAGTACCTGCGTCCACCAATGGTCACCTGGTCCACCCACCACCTATGTGAACTGAACACAAGAATTGGCTGTTCCGACCTCACAGAGATCCCAGTTTTCCCTTCTCTGTGTCCGGCTGGGTTGTCATAGAAATCTCGAAGAGCAAGGTCTGGCTGGATGGGAACAGACCCAGGAGTTGAGCCCCCTGGTCTGAGCCCTCGCTCCTCTGGAGAGAAGTCAGGGGTTAGGGCCTTTGACTAACGGGGCTCGTCCTTCCTCTGTTCAATCCTGACGGGCTGGAGTAGAGAGATTCCTGCCTGACCCTCCTCACGCATTCATCCCATGCTGCTTTGGGGCTACCAAGTGACTCCATGACTCCAGGGCCCTTCACTCAGCTGGGCTTTCACACCCCAGGTCAGGTCCCAGTCCGCTGTCCTGTGCAGTGGATCAGCTGCTGAGAATCTGGTAGCGGCTTAGGCCTCCCTCTCGCACGCACGCGCGCGCACGTGCGCTCAGCCCCACCACCACCTGGGTGGTGATTAACTGAGTCTCCTCCTTCACCCCTGGGCAGGTTCATCAATGCCCGGAGGCGCATCCTACAGCCCATGCTTGATGCCAGCAATCCAGACCCTGCCCCTAAAGCCAAGAAGATCAAGTCACAGCACCGGCCCACCCAAAGATTCTGGCCCAACTCCATTGCCGCAGGGGTGCTGCAGCAGCAAGGCGGAGCCCCGGGGACAAACCCAGATGGTAAGAACTGGGGCTGAGCGTACTCCAGGCGGAGGGCTGGTGGGCGGCAGGCCCCTGGAGCTCCTGCAGGACAGCTGTGCAAAGATTCAAGGGCTGAACACCTCCTCGATCGCACGAGAGGCAGGGGCCACTCTGTCACAATAGTTATCCCTCCTCGGTCCTCACCAAACGGTGTGTGTAAGCCAGAAAGAAGGGGATGTTTTTGCATATACTTTAACAACCCAAAAGCAATTTCACAAAGACCAGTGAGAGTGGGTGGTCTTCTGAGTCCATGACTCCTCAGCAGAGCCCCCTCCTGACTCCCACCCCCACCCTAAGTTCCTTAGCGCCAGTCAGTGTCTGCACAATTCTCCAAGAGCCATGGCTATCTATAAATACCGAGCAGGCAGCTGGCTTGTGAAGGAAGGCCAGGAAGAGCTTTGTTTTCCCAGCTTCTCCATCACACCCTCCATATACACTTTTCTAATTGCCGGTCGCCTGGTGTACAATGAATAATTCAATGAGCCAGACATTTTATAACTTGGCACATGGAGATAGCTCTGTGTGGGAGGTGGTTTGGAGGTATGCGTGTGTGTATCCATACCTTCATGTAGACGTGCATTTATATGGTTGTGTACCAGTTCCTATGTGACGGTCAAGTGTCTTATGAGGTATCGTGGAAAGAAACAGATTTTGAGCTAGACCAACAGGGAAAGAAGAAACGCAGCTCTCTCATGCCTAAGTGTGTCACCTTAGGCTAATGACTTAACGCTCTGAGACTCAGTTTCCTCCTCTCTAGAATGGGGATAATAATACCTACCCTACAGAATTGTTAGAAAGTCAAACATATTAAACACATTTATGTAGAAGATGCTCAGTAAATGGTAACGAGGAGTGCTGCTGCTTAGGATGGGGCAGGAAGTGGCCCGGTATGGGTGGGGGTTTCATACCGGGGAATTGTCCAGCTCACCACCCCATGAGCCAGTCCACTCAACTCTCTGACATGGAGATTCCTGGGCCTGACGCTTGCCTTCTTTCCTCACGTAGGTTCCATCAACTTGGACAACCTGCAGTCCCTGTCCTCAGACAATGCCACCATGGCCATGCAGCAGGCTATGATGGCGGCACACGATGACTCATTGGATGGGACAGAAGAGGAAGATGAGGATGAGATGGAAGAGGAAGAGGAAGAGGAACTGGAGGAGGAGGCTGACGAGCTTCAGACGACGAATGTCAGTGACCTGGGCTTGGAACACAGTGACTCCCTGGAGTAGTTGGAAGCCCAGATGGCACTGATCACCAAGCAGGAGAGGAGTGTCATCAGGAGGGCTTCAGGGTGGGGGGGAAGGGGACATGGGCAGGCAGCACCAAGGAAGTCGGGCCCTAGTTTCCCAAAATCAGTAGCTTGAAGAAATGCCGAGGAGATACCTGCTCCTTCCCAACCACCAAGCTTCTATGATACCCCAGCCCCACTTCCCTAGAACTGTGGAGGACTCCGTTTGGTGGGGGCCGGTCAAGCAGCCTGTACGGAAAGGCAGGAGTGAGATCTGGACTCACCAAATCCCCGAGGACAGATGGCACCCATGGGACCCCCACTGAAGGACTTGAGTTGTTTACAAGCCCTGCACTGTGAGGCGACCACTGTTTGCAGAGCAAGCCTTTGCCAGGGGACAAAGTTAGGAGGAAAGGAGAGAGAGAGACAAAGGGGGGTCTGGGTTCTATCCCCAGAAGGTTCTCAGCTCCTTTGAGAGACGTTCAAGGGCAGGAGGGAGCCCAAACATATAGCCAGTGGCTGGAGGAGTGGGAGGGCCTGAGGCATCACATCTTGCAGATCAGCGTGGACCCCGATTCCACAGGGCTCCAGCTCATTCCTCCAAGACCCCTTCTCTGGGCTGGGCAACCATGGACTTGGGGAGAGGGATGGAGCCACCAGAGCCGATTTCTCTCTCTTTCTCCTGGAAACAAATGGTAAGATGGTGGGCTCCAATTATAGGAGGTTAAGAGGAGACCCTTCACCTGGGTTGGCTCCAGGACCCAAGGAGTTGGCAGAACCTGGGCTAGGAGCCATATCAAGGTGACTTTGGGGACCACAGATGTCCTTAGGTGGTCACAGAACTCAGCTCCTATAACAACAGGACAATGGTGTCTTATCCCAGAAGGTCCAGTCCTCAGACGGAGCTCTTTGTGTGTTCCACCTCCTCTACAGACCATCAAGGAGGGCGGAGCCAGGTTAGCTTGGAATCTTTCCATCCCGCAGGACCCCCACTGCTGCCCCTCTGCTCCAGGCTGGCTCCATCAGCCTCCATCCTCTCTTCTTCATCTATCCTTCAGAGAAGGCAGAAGAAACATTGGAGAAAAGCATCCAGCCCAACGGGAAGCCAGGGGTTGGAGAAGGTGCTACATACCTCCTCCCATCAATATCCAAAGTGTGGGGGAGGGCCCAGAGAAATGGCCCCCAAGAGCCAAGTGGTGCCCCACCCTATTTGCCTCACTAATCTATACACCACCATTACACACAGCACTGGAGGAACTGGGGCTCCGACAAGAAGGAGGCTTTCCACCACCTTCCCTAACACACACCCTCCCACCCCAACTTCCAGGCCCCTTGATTGGTACCCCCTACTCCCTCTCCCTCCCACCCCTATGGCTGTGAATGACAGGACTGATCACACGTGTGTTCTCCATTGGATTTAATTTAATGGACTTGCAGTTTCATTTGTAAATTGTGCATTGGCCATCTCCTTCAGTGGCAGGATGTAAGTGGCTACCTGGCTCAACTTGAGGGGACCCTCAGGGCCCTCTGGGGCTTCCTCTCCCCCACCTGGTTGGGGTAGAGCAAAAGGATGGTCACTTTCCTGGGGTCTCCCTGAAATGAATGTATTTCTCCCCAAAAGAGCTGATATTTAATGTTTTAATAGGGATTTTTGAAAAACAAATAACCTTATTTATAATCTGGGTGATTCGATCATTTTTTACTCCCTTTTGATGCCACAGGTAGAGGAAAGTCTAGCTTTTTTGGCAACGTGCAGTGGGATAAAATACATTTCTTTTTCTGGTTCGTTTTTCTTGTTAAAACTCACACACACACACACACACACACACACACACACACACACGCACACACCCCTTCTACTTACCACTTTGGACAGGCATCCCATCCCAGCACAGGCACACCTGCACACACGTGCCCACACACCCTCCTCCCAGCCCCTCCACCTGCCTAATGTTATGCAACCTCCTTCTGATGTATCCACCAAACCAGTACTGAATGTGGCCGAGAAGTTTCCAGTAAATCTCATTACCTACCATAATTCTGCTGCGTGATTCACTTTTTCTGTGATTAGTGGGACCGTGGACCAGAGAGAATTTGGGGTCCTCAGCATAACCCTTGTTGAATTGACTGCCCACATGGAAGAAGACAGGCAGAGGGCTCTCTGGAGAATCTCAGTTTACCTGCCTGGGGAGGCAGACAGACAAGTTTGGTATATTCACTGCATATGTGTCTCGCTTGCAACAGAGATGTTGGCGGGGAGGAAGACAGGAGGAAGCTCTGCACTGCCCTCTCCTGACAATTTTCACCCATAGCAGTGGCAAGCGCAGAATTTGGTCCCGCGCTTCCAACATACTCCACCTCCCACAAAGCTCTTTGCTGTTTCCATCTCCATTGTAGGCTCCGAGGGCTTTCATCATTGAAGCTGATGCCACCACTGTTCCCCAACCGCTGCCCTCACATGCCCACCCTTGCCCTACCCCTCAGGTCCCAGGAATCGGGAAGGAGAGGCAATCTTGACTGTCACATTAATCCTGGATCTGTGTTCAACGCAGAGCCTGTCCTTTGCACCCCAGGGTTCAGCACTGTATTCCCCTGGGGCAAGAAGAAATTTAGCGGCAGCTTATCTCTTATCCCCCCAAGTAAGTGAGAGGCAGACTTTCTTGTTACTTTGAAGCTAGAGGTGTCCTTATCTGGGCACTGTTGCTGAGATGTTCAGGGCATCGGTTTAGAAGCAGGAGGGGGGAATTTCTCATTCACATTTGCAAAGGCTACAGAGTTTGCACTTACCCGTGGACACCCTAGAGCCAGGCTGAAGATAAAGAGGGGACTGGGTACCCAGGCAAAATGGGCCTTTAGCAGCCCTGTTGGCGATTCCCTGGGTCACTGCTCTCACTTCTCCCAGTCCTCCCATCACACCCAGAGCATTCTGCAAACGCAGCAGAGACCTGCTTCCAGACAGTGGGAAAAGTCTCAAGATCTACAAGAAGACGATACCTTAGAACAGCGGTTCTCAGCCTTCCTAATGCCGCAACCCCTTAATACAGTTCCTCATGTTGCGGTGACCCCCAACCATAAAATTATTTTCGTTGCTACTCTATAACTGTAATTTTGCTACTGTTATGAATCGTAATGTAAATATCTTTTTGTTTTCCGATGGTCTTAGGCGACCCCTGTGAAAGGGTCGTTTGACCCCCAAAGGGGTCGCAACCCACAGGTTGAGAACCGCTGCCTTAGAACTTCACTTTCCAGAGCCAGTAGAACGACTGACTTTCAAAGAAGTGTTTCCAGAGAACACACTGTTAAAAGAGATACTATAAAAAAAATTTTTTTTAATTTCCACGGCCAAATTAGTCTAGGATGAGCTGCATATTATATTTTGTTAGTGGAGTTTCATAAGGCCTATTACTATAGTAAAGGCTCTGAAAAGTCCTGCAGAAAAGAAGCCTGTTTAACTTTATTTAACCTGTTCCCAAATTTATTTGCCTTGTTTTGCAAGTACTAGCTATTCAATGATGCTAGTATTCCACAAAACACACTTTAGGGAACACTATTCTAAGAAATTACAGAGCAGCCTGTCCCAGCTTCTCCCGCTTCTTCCTAAGTTTTTATCCAAAGTTCTGCCATCTTTTCAACCACGCTGCCAACTGAAAAGGGGGTTTCCTAAATTGAGATGTGGGTGGTTGTGTTTTAAGGAGGCAGAAACTTCTCTGTGGGCATGACCCAAATCCCATTCCAACCCAAGGAGCTATGCCACAATCCCTGTGGAAATAAGAGAGATGGGACAACGTGGGTGGGGAGGGGAGATTTCCCTTACCCCCAAGATGGAGCTCTGATGTGAGGGCCCTGAGACCTGTTCAGACTGACTTCTGGCCCCGACCCCAATCCCATTAAGAAGACCTCTCGGTTTGGAGATTCCTGCTCATGGGAGTTGATGGCCAGAGCTACGCTTTCATGACCAAGGAACTCCTCTACTGCCCTGGACACAGCCAGATGAGGGCAAGGACTCGCTCCCACGGCAGCCTGCTTGGAGTCATTCATTCAATCTGTCTTTATTGAGCTCTGACTCTGTCCCAGGCAATTTTAGACACCAAGGATACAGCTGTGATCAACAAAGATCATGTTCTTGCCTTCAGGGAGTTTATATTCTAGGAAGATTGAAAGTGTGCTCATGCCATCCTCGTGATGTTTAAACTATGTTCTCATCTTAAGACAGTGACCTCAAACTTTATCATTCTGAGTTGCAAAACAGGACATGCTCAGGTCAAATGTGGAAATCAGATCAAACTCAGCTCGCAGACATGTTTCATGTGGCGCATACTTGTCTATCGTTTTACTATTTTTGTGCCAACATTGAAAAGTTAAAAGATTGCGCATAAAAATTCAGGTTCCTGGTTTCTCTTGAAAAATCAGGCAGTCAGGCAATTCGGGACCTATGGTCACACACAGCCACGGTTGGATGTGCTTGGATCATTGCCCCTAAGACGTAGTCCCCAGGTATCGTGATATTGGCCATATGGAGACTGAGGGTCAGTGGCCACTTATTATTGTGCTGTCCCTACTTAGCTGGCTCATTGGTTAGTTATGTTTCCCCTCTTTTGCTTTCCCCTCCAATATTTGAATGGTTGTTTTTAAGAAGGGAAATATTTCTGTCTGCCCATTGCTCCATCAAGAGTAAGAAAACAAAACAGTACAAGAGGGCTCTGTCTTTGGAAAAACAATGCAGAGAATACATTGTGGAAGTAAAGAGACTGCTACCTTCAATTGCAAAGTGTGCCTGTGACTTACATTCAGATATCTTCACTTGTATGTTACCTGCCTCCCTGGCCTCTAGTGGCCGTCACGAGCCTTGGGCATAAAAACCACCAGAGTTGCTTGTTATAAATGCAGCTTAGGCCCCACAATGAGCTTTTTCCAGATTCGAGGCAAGATGCCTGAAGACTTTGCTCTCAGAAAATAGTTTTCAGTTGCCTTTAGAATTTCCTTATTTAACTTCCTTTTGCTGTATAGATTACAGCTGGTCCGAGCCATTCATTCATTCATTCAGTAAGTGTTCACAGGAACCTGTCCTGTACCTGCCATCAGGCGGGGGACAGAGGATAATTTAACTTTGCAGAGCAACACAGGCCAAGGGATTACCGAAGACTAGCAGAGAGGAAGCCGATCACATCGTACTTTGTGCATTCCCACTTTGGCATCTTATTTCCATCCCACAGATGAGGCAGATTTTATTACACCACGTTCAAGTATAGATATCTTATACTTTTATAGTACTCAGCCTCTCTCTAAGCCAATCTCATTCAGTCTCTTTGCAAATTAAATGCATCTCGTTAAACCAAACCCATTTAGGACAATGCCCTTCAGGTGTGTGCATCTTAGTACATCTTTCATTTAAGACAAGTGCTTGATTTATTTTTCATCTCATTACACTCTTTAAAATTATATGCATCTCATTACACTCAGTGCACTGAGACGACTTATTTCAAGTGTAGACATGACACCCAGTATTATCAAGCAAGAATTTTTTTTCATTTCATTACAAGCCTTACAATTTATGTACATCTCATTACAATCAGCCATTTAAGACAATTCCCTTCAGTTGTGTATCTCTCATTATACCTTTTCATTTCAGATTTTTTTTCATCTTATTACACCCAAGCATTATTCAGAGAACTCATTTCAGGTGTGCATATCTCCTGTTCATCCATCTGTTATTTCATGGATTTGGGGGCGGTTGCTTTCTCCCATAGTATTGCCAAATTTTCATTTTACCAAACTCATTTAAAGCCCACTCTGTCCACCTGTGGGCCTCCTATGTTCCTCTGCAGGGATAGGAAGAACACTGGGTTCCCCTGGATTTGACCAGGATTCTGCCAATAACTTCCCTTTACACACAAGGACCATCTAAATCAGCTTCCTCACTTGCACATTAAGGGGGTTAGAGGAGATGACCGCTAAGCTCCCCTTCAGCTGATATTCTGTGAAACTCTAGTACAGCGGACGACAGTGGAGCAAGTTCCCCAGCTTCTCCTGGGGACGCTGCCCCTCTCTTTGGACAGGCCCCACCCCTGCTGGAGAAGCTGAGATTGAAACCACTGCCTAGGCTTCCAAGGGCTAGACTGCTTCTACTTCTTGTTGCCCTATAGACTGAATGCTGCTGTGTATCCATGTGGGGGTCACATTTTTCAAGGAGACGAAATAACTTTGCTCTCTTGTGATGGAATCTCCCCAGCACCTCCAGGCCCAGTGGCATCTTTGTTTCCCCAACCCTCACTCCAGTAGTTCTCAGCTGAGGCGCACCTTAGAATTGCTAAACAGGCTTTTGGAGCTGCAGGTGCCTAAATTCCATTCTCAATCTACTTAGCCAGAATCTCCAGCGCTGTGGCCAAGGTAGGTGCATTTTAAAAGCACCCCAGGGATTCTCAACCACTACATCACCCAAGCCTTATTTCACAAAAGAATCTGTGGCACAGTCACTCTGAGCTGAAAATGTCTGATGCTCTCAGTCCCACCCTTCCCAGCTATAGTTGCACATAAGAATCCGAGCCTAGAGTGAAAAATCATTTCTCAGTCCCGGAAAGGGCAGTTGGGGTCAGTAAACCCAACTTGCCCACCCCATATAGGAATCCCATCCACAGCACACTATAAATTGTCATCTCCCTTTACTGTGCCTCCCAGAGCAGAAAGGCCAAACCGTTACCCAGAGCCATCTGATCCCTCCAACTTCCACCTGTCATCTGAGGTCTGCCTTCTGGAGATAGATGGATGAAGGAGAAACCCTCCAGATTGTTTTTGTGGTCTTCAAGTCTTGTTGCACACGCAGCTTCGCTGAGTGTGTCTGGGTGGTCTATGTGCTTCCTCTTCTGTCACTCCACCTGTCTCTTTGCCAACGAAAATAGAATCTTTTTCCTACGCACAAAATAAATTTAAATTTCATCATCCCTCTTCCACCACTCTGCTTGAATGGACCTGCTGCAAAATCAGAATATGGTACAACCCTGCCTCTGTCTGCTCGTCTGGCACTACCCAAGGCCACTGGTCCTAGAATCGGCAGGTGCCAGGGCTTATGGGACCACCACTAAGCAGGATTTTGTGAGGATAAAAGGTAGGAGTAAGGCTGATTTTAGAGGAATGGGCCACACCCTGACTAGTTTTGTTTTGGTTTTGTTTTCAGGTTCTATATCTACTAGATTGAAAAGATGATCAGATCCCCAAGGCTCAAGAGGTCATAGGGCCAGCCCTTTCTCTACATTCCTCAAAGTTAACTACTAAAATTAAAGTCACAATTTATTGAGCACTTAGCATATATGCTAGATACTGTAGATTATTCAAAATAACCCTGGAATTAATTATTATTAACCTCAGTATTCCCATTTCTAAAATGAGGTAACTAGGGCTCAGAGATATTAAATGGTTTTTCTCAAAAATGATTTAGCTACTATGTAGTAGAGCTGGGATTTGAACCACAGGCCAAATGCAAGATCTTCCTGTGAGGTAATTTGCCTGCCTAAGCCTCAACTTGACCAGGGCTGGCCTTCAGACTCAAGGGAGAAGCCCCCTCTTCCCTGAAATCCTCAGAGGCACCAGCAGCCCTGCACCTGCTTTTGCTTTTCTCCTGTAAGGTCCCAGGCGAAACAGCACTCAGAGATGTGGACCCAAACCTTAGTCTGCTTCCCCACCCCACCCCCGCCGCCACCCCCAGCCCAGCATCCACCCAGCAGCCCACGGGCTCTGTACCTGAGCCATCTACATTTTGGAGGGAAGGGGGCAAGACCTAGGTCCCCTGAGCTGAAGAAGTTGCTCTGTATACTCTTCTAGGAGCTGAACTACAAGGAGGGTCTAGAGGCTAGTCTTGGAGGAGAGGCTCCTGCTGACTACATACAGGCTGGGATAGAGGGGTGGCAACAGCAGGTCCACTGTACTGTTGCTGATGGTCACTCAGGTGTGTGGTAGAGATTGATGTGAGGTCAGTGACGACAGCTGACATCCAAGCCTTCCTCATTTCCGGCCATGCAGGTTATTCCTTCCCGCCTGTCCAAGGACCAGGCCGGGTCCTCAGGTTTTGTCAGGCTTGACAACGGAGAGTATGGGCAAAATAAGTTTGGAAGATGGAGGAAGAATAACAGAGAAAAGAGCTCATCTCAGGGAGCGAGAGATAGAATGGGTGCCCAGACAAAGTGGGGGTTCCATTGAGAGCAGAGGACAGGCCAGGGCCAGGGGCGCCGTGAGATGGGGCAACACTTTAATAAAAGGAAAAAACAAAATGACTCTGTAGAATTTCAAAGAGGAAGAGCGGATAAAGAGAGGATAAAGTGGAAATATGACGGACTGGAACACAGACACCTGGCTCCTCGATTAACTTGCTTCTTTGGTTCTGTGATTCGTTGTCCTCTTCTCTGGCAGGTTGGGAACCGAAGAGAAAACGAGGAGGGAGACAGAGGGTAGAGGAGAGAGAGAGAAGGAGAGAGGGAGAGAGAGAGGAACTAGATGTGCATGTGTCTCTGGGGTTTTTCAGACAAAGCTATTATCAAAATGCCAACCAGCTCCTGCCTGGCTCATTTGCATATTCCATGCTGTGCTCTTTGAAGCAGGATGAATATGCATGAGGGCTTGGGCGGGGTGTGGAGCTGCCGGGCTGTGGGCTAACGTGGCTCATTGTTCTTTTAAAAGAAAGGCATTAATAGGAAGGCAAAGCACCGTCCTGGTCAGCAGAGTGGCCTCTGCTTCCCCTCACTAGTGAAGGGAGGAGGAGAGCAAAGCTCAGACTCAGACAGAAATCCTCACAACTATTCTCTCATCCTTCCAAGGAAATAAATAATCAGGCGCCATCAAGAACCCGAGTGTCTCTTCTCCAAGAGCAGCATTTAATTACTCTCCTCTCCACGCATACTAATCATGGAGACTGGCTCGGGGAGCAGAGTCACCTCTCCTGCCTTCCATGAAAACGAGGCTGCTTCTCCCATTTCCTGCTTCAGCTGCAAGGAAAGCTGGGCACTTGGGGTGCTCCCAGCTTCCGGCCTTTGGTGAGACCCCAAGCGCTCTCAGAGGCTGGGCTGTGGAGGGAGTCCCTGGGACACAGTGGGTGCTCAAAAAAGCTCATGGAATGGACTTGCTGATGTTGATGAGGACTTGGTTTATCATTCATCCTAGGACACCTGGAGGATCACGCCTTCTTACTCATCTCCATTTCTTCTTCCCTGACCACAAGCTGAAGATAGTCATGCTCTGGACATTATTCCAGTGAGCATGAAAAGATTTATTTAAAAATATCATTTATCCCACAGCTTCAGGGCCACAACACCCTTCCTTTTGGGTTTTCTTTAGGAGATATCACATCTGTCTCCCATCGTGAAATAGAAATACAAGGATAAAGAATGTGGAGATATTCCATTTGTAAAATGGCTTGTCCCGCGTGATCTTGTTTCAACTCTGCACAAATGAAGGCTGGCTTCTGGCTCTGTGGTGGAGTTGCCTTACCGGGATTTGAGATTAGGCTTAGCAAAGTCCACATCAGGGCCTTTCATTGATGGGAACACACCTCATTAAAGAATCTACTAGCCAGACCAACCTCTTAGCTACGTAAGAGGGCACCCTGCCCTTGGGACTCTTCCTACCATCCTGAAGGAGGAAAGAGGAAACTGGGGGAAGAGAGTTGTGTTTGCCTGTTACTCACACTACCTGTGCTTTCCTTAAGTTCAGCCTGCAAGAGTCAGGGCTCCAGCCACACTGAAAACCTAGAGCAAACTTCTCCAAACCTTAATGTAAAGACCAATTGCCTGGTGAGCTTGTTAAAATACAGCTTCTGACTCAGTAGGTCTGGGGTGGGGCCTGAGGTTTTGCATTTTTAACAAGTTCCTCGATGTCAGTGCTGCTGGACTGAGCGGCACTTTGAGTAGCAAGGACCGAGCAGGGGAGGAAGGGACAATGCAAAACCACGAGAAACTGATTTAATATTACCTCTCAACTCCTGTGTGGGCAAAAGGAGAGAAAAGGGGAGCCACCGCTCCCACCCTTCCCTCCTAGACTCACTTCCTCCTAGACGGAGTGAGTATTCCTGCCACGTGACATTTATTTTTAACCGCCAGCAGCTTTGATGAGCTTGTCTCTGCTGCTGCAAGACACCTGCTGGCAGGATAAATTGGGGAAAAGGTGTGACTGACCCAGATCTGACAAATCCAAGGCAGGAAGAGAAGCTGTTGGGGAGTCAGTGCCTTCCCTTTGCTGAGACTGGTGAAAAACCCCACCACTGGCCGTGTTAACTTGTTCATGGCCTCACACCACCAGTGGCCCTTGCGTCCTTAGCCATAGTGCCAATGAATGCAGAGCTGAAGTCACCCCTTTCTGTCAAAGCCTGGTACTCACATCAATTTTTTGACCCCTGAGGATTTACTTGGGTATCTATGTTTGCTTCTATCCTCTACTATCTTCTATGGCAGCCGGGGCTCTACCCACACAGGCGTTCTGCTCCATGTAGATGCCTGAGTTAAAGCTGCAGGTGCTGGGGCTGCTTCCCTGGTGGCCTAAGTACCCCTCACCCCAGGTGAAGCTGCTACTGTTTCTAAAAAAGTGGAGGCCCAGGAAGTGAGAGGCAGGCACCAAGGATGGCTTTTATTGTCACCTACATGGATCTGTGGCCTCCTGTGGAGTTGCCAGGGTGATAAAGTATGGCTTTCCACATGGCATGCTTAGTTCAGCAAATACTGAGGTCTTAAAAGTGAGTGGAAGTCTAATTGGATAAGAGACTGAGTGCCAGTCTGACTCCTCTCCTGAACAACTCTGCTTCTTGACCTCCTCATCTGTGAAATCAGGGCAATGCTGGCACCCACTTACCATGTAGGGTTGCTGCGATGTGAGATAATGTGTAGAGAGTGATAAGGCCAGTGGCAGACGCAAAGCAAGTGCTTGATAAAAGTTTTTGTTTTAAGACGAGACTGTGGAAATTGACGGGTTAATATCATTCCAGCCAGAAGATGGAAGCGGAAAGAGTTCAGGTTACGGTAAAATCAAGCTAGCATCTGGATATTAGGACAGCACTTACCTGCTGGTCAATCAAGGCTGGCAGCTGCCTGCCACCGGTGCCAGAGACAGCACGCAGGGGTCAGAGCTGCTGGACCTCTAGGGCTGCAGGAAGGGCAGGGCATTACGGTCACAGGATAGGGTTCCCAGGGGCCATTGGGAGTAGGGAGGAAAGCAGCCCAAATCTCCCATGCCCCAACAGTTCAACAGAGCTGCCTCCCTCCAGGCCCTGAGCCTCCAGGGCCCTGGGGCGGGGCTGCTGAGGGCCTCCAGGAGCCAATCTGGCCATCTCAACAGGAAGTGCTGCATCTGCCTAGCTGCTCCTTGCAGAGCACTTTCTGTTTGCTGACTTCACAGCCTCCCTGCTCATCTGACACCCCTCACTCCCAACCAGTAGTTCCTACAACACATCGTGCTACAGATGCCAAGGCACTAGATCTTAGAGCCTGTGGAGAGCCTCCTCCTTCGAGCTGTACCATGTGCAGCCCCATCATGACCACAACAGGGCATGCTCCCTGTCCCTAAATACAAGGATGCTGCCACTGGCCACGCAACATCACATGATTGCAGCTACGCATCCTTTCTCTGGAGGGTTTGTAATGGGCGCTGCCGGACACCACACTCCAAAGCACATGAATATTAATTAAATGAAGATTTATTTCAAAATTAGTCTTAGAGTGTAAGCTGTTTTGAGGGCTGGAGCCAGACTAGATAATGAGTAGCGAGAGCATCTGCCTTCCTCCAACATAGGCAGAGAGGAGGCAATGTCCCCAGCCCTGCCCCTTGTCATGCATCCAATGATTACTAGGACTAGAAGCCAACAGCAAAGGACCCGCGCGTTTGCTCATGTTTAATCCAGGTTAAGCTCTACACGTTTAAATACACGTCGGAGGTTACATGGTGTCATGCAATCCCTGTGATGGAATGACTCTTGCTCAGTGACCTCCGCTGCAAGGCTGCTCCCAAGGGCAAGGTTAGGTAGGACAGAGCACTGGAAAGAGAAGAGGAGAGGACAGAGGTCAAAGCACAGTGCAGGTCAGGACCTGCCAGCCCAGGTGGCCCTGGCCTAGAGCGGTCACGCTGGCTTCCCGTAATATAGTATCCTGAGCAGAGAACTGCCCCCTTACAACCAGGAATAATTGCAGCCACTTGTCTTTTGTCCAGAAGAAGGAAGAGCCAATGATAGGTAGTGGTTTGGTGTAATAATTTAATGTGTAGTCCCCGGTGCCCAGCTGCCTGGGCTCAAACCCTGGATCCACAGTTTCTAATTCTACAAACTTCAGGTGATTACTTCACCTCTCTTGCTTATTTCTTCATTTATACAATAGACTGTGCCTTTGCCTACCCCAAAGGGTTGTTCAGAGGCAAGTAGAAAATGCTCAGTAAATGTTAACTATTTTTATAAATTCACTGACATTTCAGGGATCATGAGGGGTAATGTCTACTCCTCAGGCTCCCAGACTTGTAGAACCCATTTCTACAAACCTCCTTTGAAAATGTCCTTTGAGAAATTTGCTGCTCTTTTAAAACCTTTAAGAGTCAGAAGTTCTTCCCAATGGTTAGCCTAAATTTCTCCTGCAGAAATTTAAGATTAAGCTCCCTGATCCTTATGGAAACAACATAGTTCAGAGGTTCTTAACTGAGGTTCACAAGCCTTCAGAAACTGTACCCAAAGTTGTGGGCATGTAGAGCAAAAGCTAGTGAAAAGAAGGACCCAGACAATGAATGATCATCAGTGGATACCATCATAGACTGAATGTATCTCCCCAAAATTCATATGTTGAAGCCCTAACTCCCCGATGCAGCTGTATTTGGAGATGGAGCCTCTGAGGAAGAAGATCAAATGAGGTCATAAGGGTGCAGCCCTGATCTGATAGAATTAGTGACCTTACAGGAAAAGACAGCAGAGAACATTCTCTCTCTCTTTCCTCAAGAACGCAGAAAGACCATTATCTACAAGCCAAGAAGAGAGCCCTCATTAGAAACCAAATTTGCTTACACTTTCATCACGGACTTCCAGCCTCCAGAACTGTGAGAAAATAAATTTCTGTTGTTTAAGCTAGGCAGTGATATTTTGTTTTAGCCACCTGGACAGACTAACACTGATATTACCATCACAAAAATAAAGACAACCAGAGAGTATGTGATTCTTAATGGAAATTTACAACCACACCAACAATATAGTGCTTATTGAAAAATTTGAGGCTGAATCTGATCAAGCCTCTAGCTCTACCAGTTAACAGGAACTGCAAAAGATGGAAGAACATGTTAAATTAAACCATGCAGACACAACCATCTGGTAGATGCAAGTCTATGGGGCAAACAACCTGGCTTGTCCAAGAAATAAGTGTCAAAGAATGAGAGAGAGGAAAGAAAGGGGAACCTATATATATATTAAAAGAGACGTAAGAGATATATTATTCAATTGCAATGGAGGGACCTTCCTTGGATCCTGATTCAAACAAACTGAAAAAAAATTTATAAGAAAATCTGAACACTGATTGGATAGTCAATGATATCGGGAACTTTTTCATTTTTCTAGTTGTGATGATACGGTGGTTATGTTTTTTAAAAGAGTCCTTGTGTTTTACAAATGTATACTGAAATATTTATGTATGAAAAAAATATGATGATTAGGGTTTGCTTCAAAATAATACAAAGGGGAGGGCCAGTCAAGTGGCTCAGTTGGTTAAGAGCTTGATCTAGAGTGAGATCTCTGAGCAACAGGGTCGCCGGTTCGATTCCTGGCCTGAGCTGAGCTGCCACTTAGCTGCCAACAGGTGGCAGGATGGCTCAGCTAAAACAAAACAAAACAAAAAAACAAAACAAAATAATATGAAGGGGAGAAGTTGGGAAGGGATATAAATATACATGATTGACAATGTGTTAATTATTGTTAAAGCAGGATGTGAAGTACAAAAGAGGTCATCATACCATTCACTCTATTTTAATATATATGTTAAAAGTTTCCATAATACAAGATAAAACAAAAAAGAATGTTATAAAAGGATGTAGGCTCATCATGACTCTAATTTGTTGCCTTTAAGCAGCTGAAAACTATTAATAGTATCCTCAGGCTTTGTTTTTCCCAACTAAATAGCCCAACTCCATAGAAACTTCACAATAAGTCTTTTGTTGGTTTGGCTACTCTTCGTGTACAGTCACTCTGGTGACTTGGGGGTGATGGAATCTCCCTCTCAGGCCTCCTAGCAACATCCAAAGGCAAAACCCCATGACTGCAAGGGCCTCACAATTGTCCACTTGCTTTCCCTGGCCCTACCGGGTCTGGTCTGGTGTGGACACTCTGGGAAGGCTGCACAGCGGGTTTCACACCTTCAGCAGGAGTCCTGGGGAAGGGGGCTCTAGGGGACCACTTTTGCTGCCGAAGGGCTTTGCTGTTCTTACCTTTTAAAATGTAGTCCGTTAGCAAAGTGGGCACCTTCTCATTATCCTCCTTCATGGCAAAGAGAACTGGGGAAGGAGAGAGAGAAAGCTCACTTCTAGGGCCAAACCACTCACCAATCCAAAGGGAATGAGAAATGATTTAAGGAAACCAGACATCTATTGAGTATGGAGCAAAAGTCTAGAAGCTTCTGTCAAGAGTCACCATTCAGCATGATGATGGAGGAAAATATATCAAAAGGGTCAGAGTGGCCTATTAATGACTTTATTTTCTTGATCTTTTACTTTTTTTTTTTGCTTTTCTATAATTTCCACAGCTCCTAAGTATATATCTTTAATAATCATAAAAATAAATAAATAAAGCAATTAAAAATAAGAATCAGCTTTCAGATGCTGTCAATCTAAACATTAGAATAGTAGTTGTCATACCACTGAATCACCAACAACACTGTCTCGAAAGACGTTCTATTCAGATAAACAGGCACTATTAGAAAAATTTCTCGCCTCCAATTTATTAATAACAAATGAATTTAATCTAACAAATATTTATTTTCTATTTTATGCCTGGCATGGCGCTAGAATTTATGGAAATGCAAGAGACTTCTGGACCCTCAAGGAGTGTCTTGTTGAAACAAGACATGACTACACACGAAGCAAACAATAGGAAGTTATTAAAGCCTAAAGGCTTTTTATAAAAGCTTTTTAAATAGCTATCTCTGTTACTAAACTAGGTAGCACCTTCTCATATTCATAATCCTTCAAGAAAATAGCTGGACCTTGTTTATAACATCAAAAAAATGAGGGGAGGGGGTGTCCACCAATAGCTTTCTTCATTAGTCAATTCCTTAAATAAACTCTGGTATATCTAATCCATGAAGTCTTATATAACTTAGTGAAAAATAAGAGATCTATATGTAGAAAACATACTTATCAGTTAAGAAAAAAGGCCACACAACATTATGTATTAACTTTTAAATAAATGCTAATATTCATAGAAAAAATCTGGAAGAACGTGCATGAAACTGTTAAAAGTGGTTATCTCTGAGAGTGAGACCGTAGGGGATGTTCCTGTCTACGTTATATTGCCACAGTGCCTGGCTCTTTTCAATGAGTATGTATTACTTTTTGCAAGCAGAGAAAACAATAAAGATCAGCAGGCACTGATTGTAAGGGTCAGGAGGCAGCTGTGACAATAGAGGGACCCCAATCCATTTCCATGTCCTTGCTCTCGATTGATGACCTTGCCTAGTTTCAAGTCAAGGTCATGAAACTTGATTCCAAAAGTCATCAGTGGGTGAAAAACAAATCCTGATGGTGGTATAAGTTAGCCGCCAGGTCCAGAAAAAGAGGCTGAACCTGAGGCCTTCCACATGATGATTTCTTTTGTTTGATTTCTTCAGTATTTTTAGACATATATTCATTTCAACTGAATAGGCTGGAAATACTTTGCAACGGAGCGTGTGCAGACTAGGTGCCACACCAAGGAGATAGCCATACAAATAGATTAAGTGCACTGAGACAATATGTACCTAAGTTGATCTCCAAAATCCAAAATTGATATGAGTTGTCCAGTCCCCAGTGCTGGTCTTTGGCCAATATCCTTGATTCAGGAGCAGGGTAAAGAGGAGATATTGTTCACAAATCCATACAAGGATTTGCAAAAAAAAAAAAAAGAGCTTTCATAACCTACAGGAGAATTGGTATTCAGGGAAAATGGCAGCTTTTTTCTTTTAAAGGGAATAAAATATTGGAATGTGGTATATCCACATGATAGAAGAGAGAGCCATAAAAAGAATGTTAACCAAATGTTAACTGATGTGACTAAAATTATGATACAAAATTTTATAGCCAGTATAATCCCAACTATATAGAAAAGACGTAAGCTGTTATGGCTGAAAAAACACCAAAATAGTAACCACAGTCAAGGGGACAATGAATTATTTATTTTCCTTTGCTCACTTTTCGATAGTTCCAAACTATTCTAAATGATGGATACACTCTAGCCATAACTTTTTAAGTGAACTTGAAAAATGTAAACAAACCCAGTTTCTTGTTTGAAATGAAAGGATTTCATGCTGAATTCCTAAATGGTATCTGTAATAAATATATAGCGCCTCCTTTTGTTAAGACCATGATAGACTACTTTACATATTATCAACCTTTGTAATTTGTCTGAATCACTTTCCAAGTGCTTACTACTTGTAAAAACACAAACATCTCTAAATGTCAGTTCATATCTATCTGCTCCCTTTAAAAAAACTCTTAGTGCATATTTATGCAAATAAAGGAGTTTAAAATGAGTCAAGAGGAAGCCAATGTACTTTGAATTTAAAATTCCGGATTCTCAAGGACGCAGTATCTACTGATGTCGGCAGGATTTATGTTTACCAGAACCTCCTGCTTTAGTTTTCTGAAGTGATAAAAGTGAGAACGTTTGGTCCCCTTTAGCACTAGAGCCCAGCAGGCATCTATCTCCCTCAGCTGAATAGATAAAGCTCCTCTTCCAGTCCCCTGGGGTACCAAATAACCCTGAGCCTGGCCCATTCCCTGCGTGGGCTGGGCAGGCTAGTCTGTCACTCAACGCAGTGCACGGTTGCCAAGGAGATGGATGTCTCCTGATTCACTGAGCCTGTCACATCTCAGCCTAGGATCCTCTTTCTAAAAGAATCAAGCTGACACTGATGGCTAACACCATGTACCCCCAGCCCTTTGGGGGCTGTAGTGTTAGATTTATATAAAGAAAGTTTGCCTACAAAAGCTCTTTATTACACAGTTTTCTCCCATAGCTCAGAAAAGTTTATTAATATTTGACAAGAGAACCAAAGTGGAAGAGAGGAGGCAGTCATTTCCTGCAAGGAAAACCAGGCTCTAACCTTTCCAGTCCTTACTCCACTCAAGAAACTTTGCTTCGCATTAAAAATACAGCCAGTACCACAGGCTGAGCTCCCTGCTTCAGGGGCACAAGTTGAGACTAGGTGGCATCCTCAAGTTTCAGGCAGAGAATCAAAGCCTTGAGAATTGCCGGGTGAACCAGAAAGTCCTTGCATACCAACCAGTGCAGCCCCCAGCCGGTCCCCACAACCTCTTTCACCGGCTCATTTTCTTCTGGCAAATCTCTTTCCTTCCAGGATCCAGGGAGAGACAAGACAACTCCGGCATCACTGCAGAGTATTTTAATTGTACGCCTGTGCCGGGGGAAGGGATGCAGTAATGGGCAGCACATTTTGACCTATCTCAAACTGCTCTTGGACATCTCAGGCCTGAGGCACCAGGAGTGCAACTCACAGGGAGGGAGGCAGAAAAACAAGCAGCTGATCTCGCTGAGAATGAGAGCAACTCACTGTTTGTCAGCATCTGGAGGTCTTCCACTGATGGAGGGGAGGCTTTCTTCTCGTAAGGGATGACTGTGTTCAGATACTACGAGACAAACGGCAGCAGGGCTTGAGACGTAAGATACGGTCCCTCTGGGGTTGAGCTATATGAGACAATTTGCAGGGGGATTGTGCTTTTTCCCTAAAAAACAGGCTCTGTCGAATTTGACATTCTTGACAACACCCATGATAATTTGCACACCGCTGTTTCAGGTCCTTTTTCTCCTCTTTGGGGAATGTCTCTTTAAAATTAAGACTTGACCGTATTGGCCAGGAAAAATTTCCCTCCATTCCAACTTCTACATTCTCCCAGCATTAGAAACCCTTTGGTCATTTAAAAGTCCTGGTGAGCTTTGTCTCATTCAGGCTGAGAGCAAAGAGGGTGTATTATATTTTCTTATCCTTTGCAGTGCAGTTTGAGAATGAATGGTTTCTCTTTTGTCAAAATGACAGGAGAGAGAACCTCAACCACACCCTTGGTCTCGGATGTTGGGTTTGCTCCCTCTGCTGGATACGAGGTGCTTCTACAACAAGATCATCTTAGGACCCAGTGGGCTATCAAGACGCTGGGCCAGAAAGACCTTGAAGGACTCTAAGGGTGCTTGGTATAGTGAGTGAGAAGACCTCTACACCAAAAGTCAGAGGCTTGTGTTTTAGTTGTGACTCCGCCACTTGGCTCTCCCACACACTAGTGGTGTGGCCTTGGGGAAAATCTTGCCTAATCTCTCAGGGCCTTCGTTCTCATGGCTATGAAATCGGGGCACTGGGTTAGGTGTTCCTAAAATCTCTTTCCATGCTGTAGTTCTAGAATTCTAACACTTAGGATTCAGCTACAAACATGTGTAAAACACATATACAATTTATGTGCACTTATTCCACAGTTTCACTCTCGTCCATTTACACACCAGCCATCTCTATTAGACTGCACACTGTCAGAGGACAGAGACCAGGACTTACTCATCTTTGTACCTGAGGGCCTAGCAACAGAGCTCAGCACATAAAAGTTACGCAATAAAAGTTGTGAACGCTGTCTAAATGACCAGAAATGCTTCTCAGGCAAGTAACTGAGACAACTAGGAGATGCTACATCATGGGTTACAGTCAGAGTGGCCAGTCTTGGTGGGACTGGTCAGCTGGTGACCCAATGTGGTAGAGTTAATTATGCTCTCAGATGGGATCGATCATCAAATGAATCTTCCTTTTAATGCATTTTGTTCTTAAAACAAGTTAACGTGTAGGTCTACAAGTAGTGTTGAGTTTTAAGTTTTATCCATGTCCTAGAATACTGGAGCTCAAGAAACTATTCACCTTAAAAAAAAACCACTTCCTGTTCCCCCTTCAGAGCAGAAGAAAATGTTAGGACCCCATCCTTGCCCAAGTGCTGGGATAATTCTACTGAATCAATACTCCCAGCTCTGCTGGAATGGCCGAGTTGCTAGAGTCTAGGAGGAAAGCTGGGAGCAGGAAGATGGCTCGTACCTGTTTGTCAGTTCCTGAGGAGCCAAAAGTCTGGCGGATGCCACTCTGCAGGATGTTGGAGATGCCTTCCATGCTGAAGCGCTGGGGGAGAAAAGACTCAAGAAGAGAAGATGCTTCCTGCTCCATGGTCATCACCCCAAGAACTTGTGTGTCCTCCCTCAACCACCCAGACCCATCAGCTACCACACTGCCCTGATAACTGCCCCAGGGTTCTGTGACTAGAAAGTAAATGTAAGACCTGGGCTAAGAGACAGGCCAAAATGTAAGCCTGAGCTTTGCAAGAATAAATAGTAGAGTCTCAAAGATTCTTATCTTAGCGAGGCTCTCAGGGCAGCAAGACCCCCCTGCACTCCCCAAGTTTCCTCATTTCTGCCTCTATTGTATAAGTAGGAAAATAAAGCAGTACAGTGAAATGTGGACAGATGATGACGCAAATGTCTTAGGGAAGAAAACAAGATGTTCAGCCAGTGAGAAGGGCAGATGTAAAAACAAACGTCCTTATCTGGGGCGCTTTTTCCAAATGCACAAGCCTTGGCCCAATCCAGTAGGCCTGGAATAGAGCTGAGGCAAAGGCATTTTGAAAAATCTCCTTAGATGATTCTGCTGAGCTTCCCTGATTCAGAACCAGTGGTCTGAAGAATCCTGTCAATATAACAACAAGGCGTCATAATTTTCAATCCTGAAACACCCCCACTGACATCCTAAAGAGGTAAGTCACGACTCTAAGCTCAGTGAGTAGCAGGGGTTCTGACCCAGAGACCCGAAGCACAGCTCCTCTCAATCCTAAATGCCTTCACCCCACTTTCTAAGGTCTTGACTAAGAGAACATAGTCAATGATTTTCTCATGTCTCGACCTGAGTCCTCCGGGGGAAGAGAGGAGACAGGTAGCATCTCCTCCCTCTTTATGTCCCACTGTCTGCCACAGTGTCCTCCTGATCAGTCACTGCTCAGTCCAGGCCCGTTTCTGAGATCCCTGGAGGGTTGGTATTGGGGCCTGAAGTGGCGAGGGTTGGAGGTGGGACACGCCCAGGCTTCCAGCTGTGTTGTTCACATACCTTGAGAGGCATCTGGTTTCCCTTCTCTATGCGGCTGCTCTGCAGGCTCAGCCCTTTCTCTTTCCGCCGCTTTTTCATCAGTTCTCGCTGCTCCTTCTGCTTGTTCTGAACCTCAATAAGCACGGTGATGAAGGAGTTCTTCACTTCCTTCTCAAATTCCAGCTCGTCCCGGCGGGCCAGCTGTTGCACCAGCTCCTCTGAGAAGTCTCGGATGGCACCCTCCACCTGGTCCAGCAGCTCGGTCAGCTCAGACCCAGACATGTGTCTCAGTCCTGTCGGGGAAGACCATCCACAGGTGACACCCGCATCCAAGCCAGAGCCCACTGCAGAGGTTCCTAGCACTGCTGCCACTCGAGATGGGACTGACCCTCCACAGGAGACCCCTTCCAACTCCTCAAAAGGCCAGGAAAGACCTTCCTAATTTAGGGGCATGCCAGAAAGGGTGGGACCAGTATATCATTTGCAGAAGAGGACATCACTCTCTGGAAATGAAGGAGGAAGAAGAAACAGCCTCCAAGAAAGCCAGTGAACTCTGTCCACACACAAGTATGCGGATGGACATGTGGCTCCTTGATCCTTTGTTCAGTCTTCCAATATTTCCTCTGTTTCTATAATATTCCTCATATGAAATGGATCAAGAATCAGGGGGAAACAGTAAGAGGAAGTTTTTGGCATCTGTCCTGAAGAGCAATAGAGGCTGGTTTTTATTCCCAAAAACTAATCAAGGCATAGCTGACAGCAAAAGCAGAGCAATTGGAGGCCTTTGTTATGCTTATCGTCCTGTGTGGCAATGCCTGTATTCAAAAATATGTGGAAAAACATATAGTGAAAAATGAACTCTGGGGCCAGCTGGGTGGCTCAGTTGGTTAGAGCACGAGGTCTGAGCAACAGGGTTGCCGGTTCGATTCCCACATGGGTCGGTGAGCTGTGCCTGAGCTGAGTTGCCACTGAGCTGGTGAGAGTGTTTGCTCTTAACAACAAGGTTGCCAGTTCGACTCCCGCATGGGATGGTGGGCTGTGGGCCCCCCACCCCCGCCCCTGCCTCCCCTACACTAGATTGAATATGGCAACTGGACTCGGAGCTGAGCTGCACCTGCACCCTCTACAACTAAGGTTGAATGAAGGACAACAACTTGACTTGGAGCTGATGGGTCCTGGAAAAACACAATGTTCCCCTTCCTCAATTCCCCAACACTGTTCCCTTCTCCAATTCCCCAATAATATCTTCTAAAAAAGAGAGAAAGAAAAATAAAGAGAGCAAGAGAGAAAAGAAAAATGAACCCTGGCTAGTTGGGACACAGTGGTCTCTGCTCCTGTCAGAGAAAAGGAAAGGGAACCTGAGATCATGAGATACAGATAACTATTTTACATTCCTGTCCCCTAAGACTTCTCATTTAAAACCGATTCAGAAAGCGTCTTGGCAAATGCATCCCTTTCTAACGGCATCTTCTGATTCTGCCTTGGAATCCGTTTTCCTTTTCCTTTTTGTTTCTGCTTGGCCCCGATACTTGCTGACTTGGTTCAACTTTCCCCTTTATCTTGTTCTATGGAAACTGTCCTCCTCCTTCTTTTTTTTGCCGTTTCACTCTGCATTTCAGCTGTTTTTCCCTGAGTCTCTTGCTGAAAGCATCTATGTTTGGGACCTTTGTGTGGTTGAGAACAGGCTGATTAGGGCAGCTGTGAATGCAGCGTCTCAGCCAAGCCCGCTCCATCTCTGCGCCTCTGCTGGCCCCCACCCTGCCCCTGAGCCTCACAGCCAGTTTTACTTTCCCACGCACTTCTTCAGATCACGCCTCCATTTTTACCACTATTCTAATCCGTGTTTGGATCTTGATATCCTCACCCACCCTCCTTCTCTCTCCTTGTTCCTAAGTCCCTGTCATCTCACCTCCCAGGGATCTACTTTCCAGGGGCATGGCCCCTCCTGCAGCAAGAACTTCATCATCCTTACAGATGGATGGATTTTATGCTCCGTATTTGTCTCTGCTGTGTTAC